TTAAAGAAGGCTTTACGCTGCACATACAATAGACATAGACCGTGCTGTGTGCATCTCATGTCCTTAGGTGCGTTTGGGGGTACATATGTTTTATGCCCATTTCCAGCTCATCTCATGGCCAAAGAGCTGCCGAAGAAAATCCATGCTGCAAATGAAGCAATCGCACAATGGGTGTCCTCATTGAACATGGCTGCCAGTTTGTACACAATGCCGGGCATTTAGCAAAGGTCGTCAATGCACAGTGTTCGGGGCGCCAATTAACATAGAAAGATTGCATTATGGAGACAGCCCTTTAGTAGGGCTCAGCTGGCGCCCCGTGAGGCCCAGAGCAAGTGGCAAGTAGCCCAGAACCGGTCCAGGATGACTCAAAGCACCAACGACACCACCTTCCCAACACCAGGACGACGTCACAGGGGACCCAGGACGCGCTGGGAAGCCACAGGACCTGCCAGTATAGCCACAGTAGCCCTGAAGCAAGCTGGAAGCACTGTCCAATGCGGCTGGCAATGTACAGAAACCCACGCAACACCATGGAAGCACCAGCGGGACACCGCTCGCCGCAAAGTACTGGCGCTCTACCCGTCGCCCCTTTGCCGACTGGAACGTCTTGAAAACCCACGCGCGTGCATCAAAGCCAGGCCCAGTGGCTCAGAGGGACACGGCGAGGAGCTCCACGTCAAAAAATCAGAGCAATGCCCAGTGATCGCATCGCGCGACCGATGGCCAGCCACGGGGCTGCGGGAGGCCCATGCCATCCATCCGGCCGGGATGCCGATCTCGGTGGAGCGGACGAAATGTAGCTGGGGAAAAACACGGGCAAGGGAGATGCCTTGCGGCCTGCCTGGATAGGATGCAAGCGGAAGGCAAGAATACAGAATGCCCCGGGATCCCATGCGACCGAATGCGGGGCACCGCGAACGGCCATGACCCACGGAGCCGTACGGTTGATCTTTGCGCTCCGGAGGGAAAGTGACCCGGCAGGATTATGGAGAGGGGGGGTGGCTCCCGACCTGCACGGGGAGTTTGGTCGCGGGAGCTCGGGGGAGTGAACGCGCCGCTCCGGAAGGCCGGTGGGGCGCGGGGGCTGAGCGGAGCTGGGGGGGCCCGCGTCGGGGGAGCAAAAGGGTGTACCGCCGACAGCTGACTCAGCCTGGCACCCGTGGGGCTGCCGGGGAGGCCAGTATCGGGCAGTATCGGGCGCGCATCGGGCGCCATCAAGCGGGGCCTGTAGTTCGGGACCCCTGACGGCTGCTGAAAGAGCGAAAGAGCTGCGACTTGGTTTTGCAGCACATTTATGAACCCATTGGCGCCAATTTTGGTCATTGTATTTATCTGAGAATTTCTATGTACTCAGTGGACGATTTGCAATGCATGGGTACCAATTTCAGGACTTTCTGACCAGTCCTGAATTAGTTGGAGTTTTCATCCGGGGACCAAATTTGAGCCCCAGGGACCCAGCGGCTAAGGAGATACAGAAAATTGCATCTCAAGAATTGGATTCTAAGTGGGAAGTTGAGGGAGGAATAATCTCAAACTTTGGGACATAATAATACGCTCTGTCCTCTATCCAACGAGGGTAAGAACGTGTTACTTGGATAAGAATTGGCGTAGATATGGGTTTTTCCCCTTGGCAGGTCCTGGACGGACATAGTATTTGTAGTGAGTGTGTTAAGTGGGTATTGGCCTGTCTGGAGCGTCCAGCATGGCTGTCTTCAGAGCCAAAAAACCAAGGTTGCAAGCTCTTTTGAGAGAGCAAAGGGAGCTGTGCGAGCTTCCACCGGGCTTGCCATCCCAACATAGCATGCTGCCTTGTATTATGGATGCAATGGTGGGCTTCGAACGAGAGAACGAGAACTGGATACGGCAAGAGCATTGCAGCAGATACGGCTGGAGATACGCCTCTGGTTGTTGAATAGAACGAGGCCAGAACTGGTTGAGCGGCCCGCACAAGCTTCGCGACACCCTCAAGCCAGTCGGCTGGCCGGGTTGGAAGCTAGTTTGGGAGTCGGACGGGTAGGCTAGGGGGGGCTGCGCGTTCCCATTGGCCACTGTGGCTGTTTGAAATGGGGTCGCATTTCAAACGCGTGACTGGACTTTGACAAGTGACGTGGTGTTTATATAACCATGTCTGACGCGCTCACAGCCACGTGGTCGGACTGGACTCGGCGAGCAGTACGTACGTGAAAGGAGGGGGTCGTTCTGGGTGCTGTGGGTTATTTCGATTGTCGACGGTCCCACCATGCCGTTCGGCAAGAAATTTGTGTGGGACGCGACGCAGCATGACATCCAAGGCAAGCTCGGAGAGCTTGCCTTGGAGAAACTGCGATTGGAACAAGCCGAAGTGATGATGGAAGGAGCGCGAAACCGGGTGGCCGTGATCATGGAGGAGATTGGCTACCTCGAACGTGCTATGGGGATGTCTGAAACGGCCATCCATGAGGCCGACACAGCTGTGTGGAGGATGGTAGATGCTCTACGGTTCATCTATGGACCGCCAGCCTCCGGAAGTGAGGATGCGAAGGACGATGGGATGGATGGGAAGTGCAGAAGGCCCTCTATGGCATCTTCACACAAACATGCATGAAGAGAGAAAGGGCAAGGGTCGAGGGTGACAAACCAACGAGACTCGTCAGCAGGTGGTGTCAAGGCACCGCAAAGAGCACTTTTGGGGGTGGATTCGTGGTTGGCAATGGAACCGTATGTGAATGCAGTGTATTACTAAAAAGACGACTCATACTGCCCAGTAAGATACAAGGAAAATAAAAATGGGATATGGACATTTTTGTGAGAGGGTGTGAATGCTTGATTGGATGTTTTAAAGGACCATTGTGGGTGTTTTATCTTGGGCATGTACAAGCCCAGTCTGTACTTTAGCAATATTACGTAATCTGGAAGGGGGAACTCAAAAACATGTTAAGAAAAGAAAAAGCGATGTTTAGAAGGGCACTTAGTCATCTTTGTGCGATCAGAACCGAGGTACAATGTGATATGGAAAAGATCGGGTCAATGTGGCAGCTTCTGTCCACATTCTGGGAATTTACGGGGCCTGATCCGTAAAGATCGAATGGAAATATGCATATTATGAAATTAGAGATTGACGGCTTTCTAATGAGCCCTTAAACGTCCCGTTTGGACTATTTCTGGGAAAGTTATGGCTTGTTTGAAACAGGCCCCCTTTTCAAACATTGGGAATGTGACGGCATGACGTCAGCGGATACAGTGGATGTCCTGCCATGTCATGTGGCTGGTGGGTGGTTGTTCTGAGGCACTGAGGCACAGTGCGGTCCAATGGTGACCCAATAGGGTGTACTGGACGCTTGGAGGACGGGTGGTAGGTCTTGATGTGGAGTATTCCGCGATGTTGTTTGAGATAGGGTGGTATCTCCAACATGGCGAGCAAGTATATGTATTGTGAACCGTTTGTGGCTGTTGGGGGACCCTGCCTTTGTTGTTGCTGGCTGGTGGTGTAAGACCCGTTTCCTCAAGGCCGACCGGGCCAGAAGGGGTACCTTTGGCGGCCAGCCAAGGCCCCTCGTCCCCAGGCGGTGCCGGCACTGCGTGCCACCGCCAGAGCGCTTCGGCGCTCGGGTTTCTGACTCGTCGGAGCGCAGCCTCTGACCCAAACGCCCGTCTGACGGGTTTGCCGAGCGAGCGAAGGACCCCCACCGAGTGGCGCTGCCCTGAACGGGTACCGTGGCGCCTGGCAGGACGTGTGCAGGTCAGGTTTGCATGTCGTTGTGGTGTGGCAATCAGTGAGGCTTTGACGTGCAACAGGTCGTTCTGCACTTTGCCGGGCTGTGGTCAGTCAGGACCTGCTTGCGACGGTCAGGCGACCTCTGCGAATCGTTGTTCTGCCGGTTTCAGTGTTGCTTTGAGGGTGCTGAATTACTGGCGACAGTCAAGCGACCATCACGAGTCGTTTTTCTGGTTATCTCTACGTTGTTTTGGTGACCTGTCACCTGCCTGGTACAGAAGAGTACGGTTTAAGGCACAGTGGTGTCGTTGGTGCTCAAGCTGACTGCATTGAGGCACTTTGCACATCACAAAGTGGCACGCTTCGTAAGATTTGTCAAATTTGCCTTGACGTCATCATGACTGACCAGGCAACCGTGCAACAGTGTGTTGCATTCCATCACGCTTAAGCGGCCCCCTTACCGCAAGGCCACCGAGAGATGGCAACACCGAGTACGGGAGGTACGCTGCCGGGTCGCACCACGTAGGCGGGCCTGGAGTCTGTAACGACAGGTGCGCCTGACGAGACCTTGCGTGGCATCGCACTCTGTGACAGAATCCCAGCATCGCTCATTTTGTGCTGCCTTGATTGCTGCCACTCCAAAGTGGTGGTCCATTCCCGCCCCGCCGCCTTTGCGCCAGCTGCTCTAGTTCTCGAAAATGGGTCTCATCGTCATCGCGCTTGCTGTCTGCGATCCCGCGGCCAACAACTCCTCCGTGGAGCTCTCGGTCCGGCTGGCCAGTCGCAAATGAAGCACTGCCGCGCAAGCTCGCTTGTAGGTGCGGACGCGGCGCAGTACCGTGCCGCGGATCGCAATTTGCCCCCGTCAGTCCGCCAACTGCCACCTTGCTTGACGCCGCGGACGTGTACGTGTGCGGACCCACTCCCCGTCCTCGAGAGGCGCCCGCCCGTCGTGAGTGGCGATTTCTGGCACCAGGAATGAGAGCCTCGCGTCGAACGGACGGCAAACACGACCCCCCCATGCTGCCCGAATCGTTGGCTGTCTGAATGCGCGGAAGAGACCGCCTTGCCTACTTGGTAGTCGACGATTGTCGCGTGGCCCCAACCTCTCACCCACCCAATCCACCATGCGTTCCGCCGCGAGAGCGATGGCGCGAGGAGCCAGGATATTGAGCATGAGCGTGGGTGGGCGATGGTTAGCTGAGGTGGATCCGTGCCGATTTGCGCAACTTGAGAGCGCGTCGCGCGTGCGACGAATGGCGGCCGCGAATCACGTCCTGCGCCGTCGGGTGCGCCCACTTGCAGGATGGACGAGCGCAATTCGGCACGGATCGGCAATTCGGCCTGGCGTGTGGCGGTGCGTCGACTTTCGATCCCCGGCTTCAAGACCGACTTGGACCTGGTGGTGCGAATCGAGCATGGTTTGGTTGTTCATTGGTGGGATGCCGCTGTTCCTGCCCTCGCCTTCCCGAGTGCAAGGGCCTTGTTGTGCCATGTGTTTTGACATAAATGAGCAACGGATTCCATGCGCATGTTATCGAACACGACAATGCACAGATTTTGCAGTCATGACGCAGTGGACGGCGCTGCTAACGACTTTTACAGGCGTGTCCTACCAACATGTAATAATAAAGCGAAGCTGATGGCAAGTTGCTAAAGTACTTCTGGTGCATCATTACTTTTACCTCATTCACTCCCGGCATTAGTATCGTTGTTGTGCAATTGAGACAGCGCCCAACAACGATACAGTAGGCCAATTTCGCCGCCATTTTCGCAACTTTGGCATTTCCATCTACTCCGCATTGAAACGCGAGCATCGCTGTGGTGTCCCTGGGCATTACCTGAATAGGCCTTTTTCCTGAATGCCCTACAATCGCAAAACCCATCGCCATAGCTGATATATGTGCGGCCATTTTGCAGAAGTGTGTCCCAATTCTGCAGATAATCCTTACAGCTTTCTCTCTCAGAGAGCTCCCCGGGATAAATTAAAGACATGACGAATGCGCTTGTTGTAAAAGACTCTCTCCGCAGACTCTGGTGGCGGTATCTGCGTGGATGCGAATGAAGTTGCTGAACGGCGGAAGCGAGTAGCACCTCTTGCGAAGCGAGAGATGAACATCCACAGCAAGGTGGGAATGAATGAGGTTCCTTTCGGTCTGTGTAGTTGCACAGCAACAGTTTCATGGCCACTTGACAGGATACGCAAGTCAGGTGCAATTTGAACACAGCCATTATCTAAAATGCCAGACTCGAGGCATCGTCTGACATGCATAGTTACCAGATATACTCTACAAGTTGACATCCAGCAGTTGCCGGCTTCCGTCCCATGACCCAAGCTTGCTGATTTCATCTAATGTACTCCCCATTCGGGTCTGCAATTGATTTCGTCTAATAACAACCGTCAGGCACGAAATCGCCCGTGCTCGTTCCGGGTGGCGATGTTCATGGTAGATTACATGAGGGTCATGTGTCCTGCACGGGCCCAAGAAACGTTAAAGAAGGGATGCAGAAAGAATGCTGCAACCATTGCATTACCCCCCGTGCCTGTCTGCTTGAGAAACGCGGGCAGGTTTTGGATGATTATCATATCGTTCTCCGAAAACGTCTAAAACATCTCAAAAATACTGCAGGGGCTGTGCCGATGCTACCGGCAGGACGCACCACACCCTCATTAAGTCACATGTTCGGATTCACTGAAGTAATGCCAGTGCTTGGCGTTTGGATTCGCTGGTTAGTACTTACTGTAATTATTTGTTCAGATCGCATTATTATTCAAATTCAACCTAAAAGACGAATAACTGAATAATACGCCGTGTTTAGGGCGCCCAATTAACCATGGCTCCATATTATCCTGCCAAAGCAAAGGGCTCATATTGTGTGATAGCTGCTGTAACAGGTCCATGGGCGTGTTCTGCTCTTTGTTGTGCGTTATTTCTGCGCTAAAATGTGTTGCACCTGGGGTTTATGCATGGTGCACCACGCAGTATCAACGGGTTTCCTCAATTTGGCTGATCATTTTGGTCGTGTCCAGTGCAAATGAAATTCGTGAGTGGACGCCAATCGCCACAATCGCAAACGAACGGCAGCTCTCTCTACCGCAGCCACGGATTTAGGATACCGGAGAAGACGTTCCTGCTGCTTCTTGGCTGGCGGCGAAGGCAATGTGCGCGCCCAAAGCTCAACATATGCTGCAAATCGACTGCCATGCAGTGGAAGGGCGCACGTTGCCATCGCATGTTTTGTGCTCTCAATTTAAGAGCATTGAGCGCAATGTGGACAGGTACAGCAAGGTCCGCGAGAGCAGTTCAGGTCCTACGAAGGGATGGCCATGGAACCATGGAATGATGGCGCCCGATCGTGGGCAATTTGAACTCCACCAGAGGAAGCAGCCCAAGGAGCACACAAAGCAGCGTATTATCGGAGGAATACACGGCAACAAGCACTCCCAGGTGAGTTCCCACCCTAAATTGCTGGGATCTTTGGCCCGTGTGCGCCCACTGAGAGTAGGACATGTCCAGGCGGATGGCATGCATACAAAAATAACTTCGTGCAGTCCATTGCCAGGAGTGCGTTGTCATTCTCCAGATTCTCGTATATCAGCATCACCAGCATCCCGATTCCGTCTTTGGACGCTGCTGGGCTGACTGCAGCCACACGGTTGTGATAACGGTGGAGAGTGTCCTGGGTCGAGATTCGCCCAAGCATGTGTGCGTGGCCATCACATTGCGCCGCGAGCATTTCCCGGCCATCCTCGGAATGGGAGGCGCGCCGGGAGCTTCTCGGGTCGTCCATCATGCCAAAATCGCAGCTGGCGATGCAGATTATGCGATGCGGAATGCCCATCGGCGGTATCCTGTGGACAAAAAATGACGGTCAGTGTTTCCGCCGGTTCAGTGAGTGCGTCCTGATGCATCTTCCTCAGGCGTGCAATAATGCACCAAAGTGAGAGCCGCCAGCATCTGCTCTCAAATGATGTTTCCTTTGACATAAGTGCAAAAATGGGGTGGATAGAACGCTGCTGTGATGTGTAATCCCGTGCGCGCATCCATGGAGGTTTCTTGCGGATGCAGATTCGCGTTGTTTACTACACCACGGAATTTGCCCCAATATGGTGTTCGATGAAGTTCATCACCCCTGTGGAAACCAGCTGGAGGAATTGGCACGGCTTCTGTGCCCAATCTCCTGCAGCTTTACACACCGTGCACGATGGCATAATTTCCAGCACCACAGCATACCCCTCACCATGCAAATGCAGAGCAGTCTGAAGCTCCACTCCAGTCATGAAATGGCTACCTACATGTCCAGAAGTTGGTTGTTGGACACACTTTTTGAGACGACCTCCGGGAAAGGAGCCACGCTGATCACGCCATTTTGTTGTCATTCAGAACGGCCCAGCCGGCATCCAGTAGTCTGCCAAAGTCGATACCCGGCTTGCCCGCTTTGATATCTTCAAGCCAGTCTCTCGTAAAGGTGACCAGAACGCCACCATCCGGCCGCACACTAGCCTTTCCAGGCCATACTCGGAATACGATGCGCGCCGGGAGGCTATCGAATAGTCCAACGCCTCGAAAGCGTAGACTGAAGTGTCGATAATCCGTGACTCGCCCATCAGCACACCCTGCGTAAAACAGTGGAATGGGTGAAAATCAGTATTTCCGATGGTGCAGTGAGTGCATTTTGAAGCATCTCTCGTTGGTGTGCGTTGATAAACCCAAAACGATGGCCTTAAGAAGCCGCCAAATCTGTTGCCAAATGATTTTTTTCTTTTGCGTAATCGCAGAAATAAAATGAAAAAACACTGCTACCATGTGTGGCCCCATGCGCGCATCCATGAAGGCTGCTTGCGGAAGAAGATCCACGGTATTCGCTACAACACAAACTTTGCCACAACAGGTTTGGTGCTCGATGAACTCCATCGCACAATGGGAATTGGCTGGGGAATTGGTGGGACCTTTCTACCGAAGATCCTGCAATGATTGGCTTCACACACCGTGCGTGATGGCATCATCTCCAGCACCACAGCACACGCCTCCGACTCGTGGTGGGGACCCATGGCCACAAAACGCCTCGCTGAAATGTCTCCCAGCACTCAAGTGGCCCTCCTTGGTCGCCTTGGCACTCCCATCGACGTTGTTTGGTCGCCACCGATGGACCACAGGCACAGGCCCTGCTCGCTCTTCTGGATGCGTAATTGGCCCTGAGCTTAGCTCCTCTTCCGGGCCATGGGTCCCCACCGCAGACCTCCGGTACCTCTGCCCTCCGATGTGTGTCCCCAAATGCCGGCGCTGTTACAGAGATTTTGGCCAGCGCTTGGCGGGGACGGTGGGCGGCGGGGAGGGGCCCGGGGACCGGCAGGAGAAGGCAGGATTGACGGTCCCAAAGGCGCGGCGCAGAGGAGGGGTGGCCAGAGAAGGGCAGCAACAGGCGCGCGGGGGCGGGGAGGCAATTGGCAGACGCGTTTTTAAGATGCGCGAGGCGACTCCCTTCCCCATCGATCAGAACACCAAAATAGGAGCGATATTGCAGGAAAGTATGCGCTCGCTCGAAAGGCCAGACCCCAACACAAAATATGCTGTATCCCAAGGTTTGCAATAATATTCATATTGTTTCCCCCCCCAGAAAAACAAGCGTGACATTATTTTACGAAAGGGATTAATTTTTTACGGGATCAATTCGTGTTCCATCGTTATTTTGGATGTAGGGATTTACATTTCGAGTGGTTCAAGTAATCTTAGCGATAATTGGCTGATCCTGTTTGTCCCTGTTGTCCAGGTTGCAAATTTTGCAATGCCGAAGGAAACGAGTGTTCTATTTTATTAGGTGTTGTGTCATTTCCAACAGAGGAAAAAAGAAACACCGGCAATTACGTACATTGGCTTAAAAAGAAATGTGTGGTACATTGTAGTTCCGCTTTCCGTGGTCCTTTTGCGGGACTCGGGGCACATAGCGGTTTTGTTTGGAGGCGCGCGTTCTATGCGTGCACTTTCGGTTGTGTGACAACAACGTATGGCATTATTAAGGCAAGGGTCCAGCCTTTCGGTGAGCGAAACAAGTTGAACCGTATGCGACTTAACAAAGACAACAAGAGCAAAACAAAACTGTGCGGTACTGATTCACTTGTTCATCAATTGTTCAACGTATTTGCGAATTGACAAGAAACAGATTTTGATTTTCTACCTATTTTTCATCAATAACTTACTCAAGTTTTTCTCAGACATCAAATGCAAGTGCTGCACCAAAAAGCAACAAGAAGTGAACAAAACGACAAAATCACTTGTTCTCTTGTCCACGACATTCTTGCTAATTGGTTAATAGTTCACACTTCACGTGTTACCATTTCATTTACTTACCTCTTTATGTATTCATTCGTTTTCCATATGTTCAATTACTGTTTGTGCGTCTTGTTTCTCGGTAATAAGCAGCAGAAGCAATGAAAACCAGTTAAGAATTTGTGGGGCTTTCCTGCAATACGCCGCCTATTTTGATTTTCTCATTGATGGGTAAGTTCATCATTATGCATTGTGCACCTTCGCGGCACCCGCAACCCGCCATATGCGCACCCACACGCCCCAATCCTGAGGCCGCCGCATCCCCGCCTGCCCCTGGCCCCTGGCCCTACCAATGGTCCCGTCGCCCCCGCCAGCCCCACCGGCCACCCGGGACCCGCTTACCCCACCGCCTCACCGCCCCTCATTTTTTGGGCGGGCTCGCCGTGAACCACCCCCTGCAGTCCCCACGGAATCCCCCCGGATGGTGCCCCTGGCTTTCCCTTCTTGCCGCCCCGCAACTCTGCTTCGCTGTTCCTCCTTAGTGCCTCATGTTCTGCCTCACCGCTGGTGGTTCCATCATTCTCACCCTACCATTCCCGCCCTTGCTTGCAGTGAGAGTCTTGCTGCCAAGGGCGCATCGATCTCTTGCACATTTTGTGCATCAAGAGCAGCAACCTCTGCGCCACATACTGTGAGGGTGCCGTTGCGCTCACGCTCCACCACAATTATCTGATTCTCCGCTGTGCTTGCGCTGCAGACACATAACAGGTGCCATAGTGCAATGTGTCGTCCTTCCTAGGCCATGAGGGCCATTCTCCACATGTCCAGGCGCTGAGGCCTCCTGAGCCTGGGGCACACATCCGAGGGGGCACACATCCGTGGGGACGCATATCCGGTGGGGGGCGCACCCCCTGTCACGGTGGGGGCGCATCCCGTGCCGCCGCGTGTCTCCAGGGACACGCCCCCGGAGGTGCACCCCCCTGGGGACACACATCTGCTCATCGCCGCAAGCTCCTCCTGTACACATGATCAGCGAATGGTTAAGTAAAGATATAGTTGGTAACATTGATATAGGCGAAATACAAATCCACCACGAGATGGTCCATCCGCTATGCATTGCTTCTACACCACGAACGATTTTCGGAATCTCCTTGCGATTGTATCCGACACGTAACTATAAAACTGCTAAGTTTTTGCAACATCGAATCATAAGGGGAGTCTACCCGTTTCAAGTTATAATCAAGCACTCACAACTACCTTGCATATGACCATTCTCAGAACACTGACTCCGGCCCGCTCCAGCTCTCCATAGGCCTCGCTCAATGTCACATCTGCGAACAGCTCCACGGACCGCGAATGGCCAATCGTGTGGATCTGGCCGTTTATTATCGCCTCCCCCTCCTCGCGCGAATCTTCCAAAGCTGTACACATGTCCCCAGCCGCGCTGGGCGCATTGGTGAGGGGTGAACGACGCCATGCAGATCTTCTTGGTTACCCCATCACGGAAGCCTGCCAGGAAATTGGCCAATTGGTTCACAAAAGTTCTTTATGTTTGAAATTGATGCTGCGTGCTGTGGCGATGGCGACTGCACTGCGCCCCTGGGGGAGTGAATCTTGTGGAAGTGCACTCTATCAAATATATGGCAGTACAAACATCCAACTTTGTTGACATATTTCAAGACATTTTACATACCGGATTATTCTAGTAATTTGTGAGAATCTAAAAGATGAATTAATGTGAAACGAGACAAAGCGCGTAGAGTACATTACAAGAAAGAAATAAAGCAGAACAAAGCAAAACTGCAAGAGAATTAAGCACAATTGACCAATTTCTTCAGCTTTCCCTTACAGTAAGAGCCGGTGATCATTATCCCTCCCAACCATAGGTTCATGTCAATACGAAATTTCAGATTGACGCTCCACCACAGTTTCCCCTTCACGGCTGATAAGCACAAAGCATGGGTGAATCGAGTACAGCGCTGGTGAGTGTAGACAATCACCTTCCATGTCGTTATCTGAATCATCTCCTGTACACATATTTATCCCGTGGCTAGCACATAGTCAAGATCATCACGTTGATATCTCATAGCGTTGATGTAAG